TGACAAGTTCATTTCGTCGCACTTTCGCTCATTTGTTTGGCTCTCGTTCGAGTGTGCGTTGGCATCTATTTTTTCCCCACTTTAACAAGAATTCCTGTAAGTAAAGGCGGGCCCGGGAAAAAACTCAGACCCGGATCCGGCCCGCACCAATTACCGGAGCGTTGTAAGATGCTCAGGGGCTTTTGATGTGACAGATGCGTGTCCGTGTCGCTTTTGAGGTGTATTGCTCCATCAATTTGCGGTTTCTATATATATTGGATCTAGCAGAAAGACCGTTCGATTCGTCTATGTCGTATTTATGGCGCTTCTTAAAAGTATGCTAGGATTTGCGGAAATCATATATAATTATATGTTTTTATACTTTTGCAGAGGGTATTATAATTTAGGTCAAAAGTTTGCAACGCACTGAAGGATACATTTTCGACCCTATAAAATATATATATTCTTGATCAGCATCACTAAGAGAGTTGATCTAGCCGTGTCTGTCTATACTTCGTTCCGTCTGTCTGTTCAAATGCAAACTAGTCTCTCAGTTTTAAAGCATCTGTATAAAAACTTTCCCCAAAGTTAGGAATTACGGCTTACATTTTATAAAAATCAGTCGTTTTTTTCATATGGCTGCCATAAGAACGAACTGAAAATTCAACGGATGTCCATAAAAATCGAAATACAGTTGTTTTAAAGAATTAAAAGAATTTAATTTTCTTGCATTAGCTGCAAGGGTATATAAACTTCGACTTGCCGAAGTTTGCTTCCTTTCTTGTTAAGGTTAAGCACGCTGATCAGGCACAAATCTCTACTTAATCATTGAAAAAGTTATTATTCTTTTATTGGATCATAACATAATTATGGTCACAGCGTTTAGATTTACGAATTGAATTTGTAAGAGATTTTAAAAATCTTTATTATTTGTTTTATCCAAAGACAGTTTTTCACATCCTTTAAAAAATTAATGTATATCAAATTTAGCAAACATTTTCATCGTAACACGATATATATTGAACTACTTATCCATTCCGAATAATTATTCACCGAAAGCAGCCCAGGAAAGAGTTGTGTATTATTTTTAGTTTAGTGGTGGCTATCTATAGACCCCCGGTAGCTCAAAATATGCTGTCGAAAGTGACAATTGATTGCGTGCAGACCTTTTGTATTTGACTGGGTTATTTCGGGATCTGTCACCATTCGAATTTAGACCAGGAGACAACAATGAGTCATGAGGCTGGAGGGCAGACAAAGCAAATCCCACTTTCAATGGCCAAAACAAGGTACAAATATTTGCCATCATTAGAGAGCATTAGAGATCTGAATCCAGCGGAAAGGAAGGGAAACGCATTCATCCATCAGGTTGCTCTAATTTTGCCAGTGCCAGTGCCGCATCTTCATCTGCTGACAGGCGACATAAAACAGGATAAAAAAGGGACTAGGCAGCGTAGCCATTTGAGCGGATTACGAAAGCCTCTAGCAAAAGTGCAACAAAGCAGGTCCGAAGAGGGCCTAAGGGATAAACCTTCTATTCCCTCCTATCCTGGCCCTTTTCCGTCGCTGTAATTCAAGCATGATGCATGCAAATTTATGCCATACATTTTGTGGTTTAGCCTTCGGATATGACGTCACACTCAGGACTCGACAGAATTATGTCAGGCGAAAAGCAAACGATAAGCTTAACAAACATTATGAGCTTTGGAAAGAACGGGTAAGTGTTGGCCGTAAATTTATTTAAGGATATTCGGTCATGTAGCTTTCGTATTTCGAAGAAAAGAACCATCAATGAAATAATACTCAAAAGTGACTTTGAACAAACAACTCGTAAGATAACTCGTAAGATAATTAAAACAAGATAGAGCGACTATTAGATACCCGTTACTCAGCTAATCAACTGAAAATTTAAATCTAAAAATTTCCACAAAAAATGTGCTAAGGTGCCGCCCCCACTCTCTTTCTCTACATCAGCGATCAATAGGCCCTATCTAATGAGCATAGGATAGTGTTTTGCCTGCAGAGCCCGATTCGAAACATTTTGATTTTTTGAATTATTTGTCTAATCCCAAACCTCTATCTTTTATAGTTTTCTGAAGGCATACTAACGGTTATGGCTAGATCGACTCGGGTATTGTTCCTGATCTAGAATATGTATACTTAAACTTAAGCCCTTTCTTTCAACAGTTACATTCTTTTCAACGATTACAATATAGCCTTTTACTTAATAAGTGTCGGTTGTTTTAAACTGAGATTTCTGACTGCAGATTTTTGACGTAAAGGTAAAGGTACCAAATAAGCAAAAAATAAAATTGCTCAGATATTTGTAAGCTACAGAAGGAGACAATTCCGCCGTTACGAAATGGATTTTAATATTAACAAAATAAAAATCATCAATAATCACTATTTTAGAGATTTATTTATTTTTATCAAATTAATGAATTATTTTTATTTTTCTTCTCAAAAATAATCAATATTTTTGAAGAAGATTGTAATAATTAAAAATCTAAAAATCTTTGAGGAAATGGATAGATTGACCAAAGAGAATCAATATTTCGTTTCCCTTTTTTTTATGCCGATTTGAAGTGATTGATTTATGACATATGAATAATGGTTGTTTGCAGACCCTGGCTAAAATGATTGTACAGATATTTTAATTCTGATTTAGTTAAATAACTGCCGCTGGAACGATAATGATTCGTCATTATTGAAAAACGCACTTACTTTTGTTGTGTTTTTTATATAAGGCTAATGATAATACAATTGTATTAGAAAGACAAAGCAAGTAGTGTTAAATAGAAATCGAATGCACAGTTTCCGAAGTGTATGACAAGTTTTTTATTATTAATCAAACTACACAGAAGCGTTTTTCCAAAACGACATCGACAGCAAGTCGAAGTGATCAGCAACGCATTGGAAACTCGTGCCAGTCTTCAGGAAAGGCTTTCAATTCGAGCTGCAAGTTTGTTTATTGACTTTGTCTCGACCATGGCTACTGAAATCGCGCTCAACTCAGCGCTGGCAAAGCGTTCGAGTAAACAAACAAACAAGTTCATTTGCTGGACCCGCAGAATGCCCGACAAATGCCTCAATCGCAGACGGGAACAGGTAGGTGTACATGTATAGCATATCCCCTTCACACAGATGAAGATGCACTTCCTGTGCCACGCCCCAGACAAACATTAGCCGTTTAAGCCGGAGGACAAAGCGGATTAACGCAGGGAGATGGGAGATGGGATGCTTGGGCTCACAGATTATGTTGTAAAAATGTCGCCATGCATTTGAGCCAGAGGAACGAGCTTCAAGTGAATATATGTTATATGTCACCCCCTTGCATTTAATTTTAATTTTCGGGACATTGCCAGGGCGTGGCTGTAATGGAGCAGCCACGAGCAGCCATAAACGGGAAACGAATTAAAATGGTTCGCTGGAAACCCGCAGAGCCAAGAGTCCTGCGGGCAGCGCAAACAAATCGTGGGTAAGGCGCTGAGGGACGACCAGGACCCCCAACTGGAACCCCTCTTGCTCCTGCTCCTGCTTCTGCTCTTGGTCCTGCTTCGGTCCCACTCCTGCCTGCATTGTTTGTTGCTATAATGGCGAACGAAAAGCGCAAGGCATCTGCACGGCGTCGTCCTTTTGTACATTTCGCTGCTGCTCCTTTCTGCCACTACTCAAATTTCAATGAAATTATCCTCACGGCATTTGTCTGGCCTTCTCGCTCACTCTCGCACACTCTCGCACACTCTCGCTCACTCTCTATCCCTCCTGCCTGCTCCTGCTCAACAATGCCGAATAAATGTTTTTCGCCGAAATTATTTGCTAATGGCTCGTCCTTTTTTGCATTTACATTTATGAGATTTTCGTGTTGTCTCCGATGCTGTCAAATAGATACCCGAACGGAAAATGGCGGCAGTTGACGCTTTTGTGCTGGCGTTTTTGGCTTTCTGCCTTCCTTCCCGCCATCCACCCATCGATGGCGGCCATTTTGGATGGCCGATGGCAGGAGAGGTTGTGTTTGTCCTGGCAACGAGACAACAACATCGCAAATTGCTTTGCGAGAACTTTGCTCAAATTACGCAGAACGCAGGACGCAATTGCGGGGGAGCTGTCTAGGCAACGCGGGAACTGAACGGAAACGGGGACTCCTCCGACTTAGAAGCCAAGGAATCCAGAGTACGACTGTCAATCAAAGCTGGATTCGGAGGAAATTCCGATGTGCAGATCACAGAGAGCTCTTTTTGAGTGCCAGCCCTTGACCTAGTGCCTTTTCGAGCCGATCCTTTTTGCGGTTTTATTTCTGGTCAAATGATTTCCTCTCGATCGACAGGATATCGCTCTGAGGCCTTTGTGAGCACTTAAGCTGAAAATTCCCTTTTGACTACTGTCTGCATTGTGTCCTGCGTTTAAAGGATCAACGCTGGCCAAATGCGCAGTAGCATCTTTGATTTCTTACAGCTCACTGTACAGTGAGCTTATCTCTTCACATCAACTGCTACCATTTTACCCACTCGGAGCAAGAGGAACGCATTAGAGGATCGTAATTATGAATACTTGATGCGGAAAAATGATCGGGAGCACTCGAAGTCAGGTCTGAAGGGTCCTAAGAGTTGACTAGGATTTGGATTTACCTTTGAAACAACAAGCTGGTTATGCAATCTGTGTGTGGCCCTTAAAATTATAAATTCGAAATATAAAGTTATGAGGTGAAGTGCGCAGAATTATATAAATTTTGATTTAATTACCGCTACAAATTTTATGCGCTTTGTGATTTTCAGGATCAAAAGGACCAAACAGTTTCAATAGCCACCCAGAAATAGAAAGATCTGGCAAATTAATACATAATTGTTCCAAATACCATTTAAACAGCTAAGTGACATATTTCGATATTAAGGCAATGAGTATCTGCAGAATCGAGAGGGAATCGTTTAACTACAAAATATTCAATCCTCCGAACACTATTTTTTTCATTTTAAAAGTATTTCTAGATATTTTAAAACGCTTGTTTCTACAGCTCTACTCACTTTGTAGTAATCCAGCGTTGAGAAGTTTTGATAGCACGGTACATTATACAACATATTCCAAGTGTTGTGGCTGTTGTTGTCGCTGCTCCTGCGGCTCTCGATGGAACGGGGGATCCTGGCCCAGTGGAAATGTCAGGTTGCCAACGGGAAAGTTTTCAATTCCATGGCAGACGTGTTCGGTGAGTCGTGGGCATGATTAAATGTTTACGTTCGAATTGCACACACAGATCGGTTGGGGAAATGTCGAAATGTTGAAATGCCGGTTGCTGATTTCTGATTAATTAAGCCAATTCAGTTTCATTGCACGAGACGCGCGACACAAACGAATAAGCGATGGATGAACATTCAATTGCGTTAAGTGAGCAGTTCCGTTTCGCAAATTAATTTGTGCCAAATAAATGTTAACGATGTGAATTGTTTTTTAAGAGTTTGGTGTTTTAGCGCTGGGCCGACGGCGAAAAGCTCCGGATTGAGTGCCCTTCGTGGTCAATTGTGGTCCGGTATCGCCACGAATGTCACATAAAGCTGCGTGTCAACTGATTCGACTTCGTCGACTTCGAAAAGCGCTCATTGCCGTTCCCGATCGCAAAGCTGTCGACGTCGTCGCCATGCGGGTTTTGAGTCACTTTTCTCTGCCGGAACGGCCAATCAGAATGCCAGAAATGCTGCTCTCCCGCTCGCACCCTCGACCAGTCGCGGCGGCTTTGAGTGAGTTTTTCACTGTGAGGGCGGTGCGCCAGGATTTGCTTTTCACTCCAACCCATAACGGAACATTTCAGAAGGGATGAGAGCAGCAGAGACTCAGATGTAAGTACATCCATTGTTTTCCGAAAACAGGTTGGCACCTCTGTAATATTTATTTAAAGTTCAATTTAAATATAATTTAAAGTTGGAACCACCTTCAGATAGAGATATGAGGGCACTTAACAGATTCCACAAGAAAATTGGCAGCTCTGTGGCTTAGGATAGTGTTTCTTGTTCAGGGAACCATGTCTCAAGGGGTGTTTATACCCAATACTCAGACTTTAAATATTACTCGACTTCAAATATTAAAAACTTATATAGGCTGAGCGTGTTTCCAAATCCCAAACAACAACGGAAATGTTTTTTTTTTTTGAGATTCATTTAAAAAATATTCAAGAGGGTTTCTTGACAGATCTGTATGAAAAGTGCTATTCGTACGTTTCTAGGAGCCACACAGCAAATAAATTTCTTGACATATCTGTAAGCTTTAAATACTGTAACTGCAACTGTACGATTTTAGGACAAAAACAGAATTATATGAAGGTACAGGTACCTAATATTGTGGTTCCAAAGAAAGTTGGCAGCGCTGCGAGTTTGGTGCTAGGGCTTCCTGGAAGCCTTTTTGGGGACCCTTCCACGAACGGTTCAGGCTCTCGGTCTCCTTTTTTGTGGGCCCCTTAGCTAACCCAATTTGGCAACACTTGATTGGGCGCCAGGCGAAATGTCGACTTGCATTAGTGCCACCAATTTCGGGATACTTCGGACAGCTCCAAGCCGCTGGTCTTTAGCCAAAAATCACGGCGCAGACTAGGAGACATGCGGTCGCTTCGTCTCCTCTCCCGTTTCCCTCCTCCCTCACTGGCAGTGGGTTCTTTTTCGTGCTGGCGTCTGGACGACGACGACAACGATCTTGGAGCAAGTTATCCCTGCACGGCTCAGCGCATCGCGACAGTTGTTAACGTGTTTAATTAGCCCTGCGAATTCAATGAATTGCGACAGTAACAGTTAGGCTTAACAACACAGCACAGCACAGCACAACACAACACAACAGCCGCTGCCTTCCCTCCCCCGGGGCACACCCTTTCCAAATATTTGTGCAGCCATTTTGAATTGTCCTGCTCCTCCGAGGAATCCTCCCCCGTCGGCTGGCGAGGATTTTCGGACGCATGCGCGCCGAAAAGCACTCAAAGTGGTTTTTGGAGGTGTAGCACTGGGCGTTGGGGTTGTGGGGTGCGTTGTGCGTTGTGGGTGCCATAAGGGCGTCAGCAAGGCGTGTTCCTAATTCCAACCGACTTTAAGCTGCAAACTACAGTGTGGCTTTAAATTGGTCCCTGCCGGCGGAGCGAAGCAACTTCCCCTAATGAATTGGATAGGATGGGCTCGGCACGATTTGCAAATTAAAGCGAAGCGAAACCTTTAGTAATATGCGAGTGTATTAATATAAACGTAGGTCCGATGATTAATTACAAAGTTGCCTTAATTGAAATGTAATAAGTGGTCTAAGATGATAATTAAATACATTTTGGCAGCGGATTTGCCTTGTAAGCTTAAATATACTCCCAAAATAGGCAATGCTCCAACTGAAAAGAATGAACTTAATAAAAAGTTAAAAAGCTGTATTATAAAAAAGCTTTTTCTCACCTTTATAGTCAAACTATTTTTTAAAAGATCTCTGTATACAGTTTGTTAAGACTTTTAAACATTTACTTGTTTGGCCTAACGAAGTCATTGAATTTTTAAAGACGAATTCAACTAACCAAAAACCCTTTGTGTAAATAAATTTAGAAACTGGGACTAAGCTGTCAACTACCACACGCAGTCGATTTGTCTATCAACTTGTGAGTTCAGCCCAATATCCACTCCCTCAATTGACTTCAATTGGATTTACTCTTGCTTTTTCAACAGCCATTTGTTTTCCTCTTGTGGTTGGAGGAATGTTTTCATTCATAAAATTCGAGCGACGTCTGCTGGGTAATAGGATTATGCCGGCAGCTCACACGTGCTCAAAGTCGATTCAGAGCCCCAGCTCAGTCTTCATGTCCAGTTCCAGCTCCAGCTCCATCTCCATCTCCATCTCCTTCCGTCTCCGAATCCGAATCCGAAGCTCCAGCTTCAGATGGGTGCGCGGTTGGCCAGTTCGAGCTCGAGTTAAGTGCAGAAATGCATCAGCAAATGTTGAACGTCGGGTCTCAAATGCTCGCTGCCTCTTTATTGCCCTGGCTCTTATTATTAGTGACGGATTTCCGAGTCATTAGACAAAGTTATGTCTTGGACCACCGCGTCTGTTTAAGCTACTTAAGTGCGCCGCCCACAGCTCGCAGATCGAAACTGAACTGGACTGGACTGGACTGGACAGGAGTGGACCCAAGGGGAGTGCGAGAGTCTTGCTCATGTCGTAATTGACAGGCGTCAGCTTTGGGCCTTAAACAGCTCAGCATTTAATAAAGCAAATCAACTGATAAATGCCAACGATTGTCGCCCCAAATGCGACGCATTAATTTCCAGGGGAAAGGCTTTCTCCTCGGACCTCGAACGTTCCTGGGGTTCGCGTTCACCCACGGCACTTAAACACAAATCAATAACTTTATTATACAAAAACAAACACCCGGTAGGAGGAGGTCCGGCCAGTTGGATTCCTCTTGTGGCTTGTTTTACGAGCTGAAAAGCGTCTTGTTTAGCTGGCCGGACAATGAGCGCCCGCTGGGCGCGCTAAGAAAAAATCACTTCGCATCGGGGCTGGCGACAGTGAGGAGGAGACCCAGGGTTCGGACCCGGTCCCCAATTTGGACACAAAAGTGTAGGGTCCGGGTCCTCCCCCTCCCCCTCCAACTTCTCTGACCCGGCTAGTGTGTGTGCGTCGTGTAATTTATGGCCAACGGGTTCGGTCCAAGCGCCAGTTGACAGTAAGTCACCAGCGGGAAGAGCCCACAGCCAGCTGCCCGGATGAGTCAGCGCTGAAAAGTGGTGGGTTTCCATGGCCCATCCATCGGAGGGAGCAAACTAGTTGATACCGAGCAACTTAAAGTGCATTGCTTTGTCTCACGGAAATAGCTGAAAGTGCCCAACTCGTAGTAATGACTAATGCAATTCGACATCAAGGATTCGACAGGATGATATAAAATTGGAAATTTAAGGTATTTTTCTTTTATTAAATAATTTTACACATTATAAAATGAAAATGTTAGCAGTTTGAAATATAACAAGAAAGGAAGCTAACTTAAACCAAGCAGCTATTGCAAAAATTAAATATTCTTTAAAACAACAATATTTTAATTCTTATGAGTGTGTATGATGACTTTTCGCCATAGTTTTGAAATTATCCGATTATTTCTATATGATATATAATATGTATGGTCGTCCGGTTCTTTTCCTCTTATAACCTTTTGAAAAAGATTTATACAGATAGTTTTAAAATTACTAATTTTTCTAACAGATTATCTAAGGAACAAAAATGTATACAGCTATTTTAAATGATTGAACAAGAAGTGACATTGCACCTGTTGACTATTTGATTATATGCACCCACATGGGCAGCTACCTCGAAAGGAAACCCCTTTGTTTATCGCCCCCCGTTGTTGTTATTATTATTGTTCTTGATTTTGCTGCCCTTGTGATTGTTGCTGTCGTCCACATACCTATCACGTTGAAGTTTATTGACTTTTGTATAGACATTCTCGTTTGTGGATTTGGCTGATGTTTCTTTTTTGTTTAGCCGCGGGCAATGTAAACGGCGCCAGATTTCGATTTCGAGACAGTCACCAATATTCACCCCAACGCAAACTCATACTCATAACTGGTTATTTTCCAAAAGGGTCAAGTGTCATCCAGTAGAGCAGCAGGGCCAGAAGAAAATCAGCAAATTACACAATATAAATAAATAAATCATAAACGTCTAGAGAGACGTTTTTAGAAACGGTTCAGTGTTGAATACATTATTTGAAACATTATTGGAGTTTGCATATCCTCAACGAAAAATAAATCTTTTATTGGAAATTTGTTTAAAAAAACTTCGAATTATTTGAAAGGACATTTTATATTATTTAAATACGTCAAACTTTCCAACACTGCTATCACATTTTTAAAACGCAGGAAATTTTTTCGTTTCGGGAATACCTAAAAGCCGATCTAGTGGCTCTAATTGGTTTTAGGTGATCATTTTGTTTCGTTTTAGATTGGCTCTAAAAACATTCCTACGAAATTAACCACAAGTGACCGTTCTTTACCCTTTCCAATAAACCCAATCAAGTATGTAAAATGTTGACAATCCGCCAGTCGACAACGCCACCCCCGAAAACGCATTTCTCGCACATTCCGAGATGGAGCGATAAGGCCAAGTGTTTGATGGCCCTGCCGGGACCCAACACTCGGCCCGTCGTCATCTTGATGGGCCTCATCAGTGTCAGAGAGCCAAGACTGGAGTCGAGGGATCTTGGCACGTGTAAACGACACCCAAATTAGAGGGAGATTATTTAATGTTCGTCTGGGACTCTGGCACTCTGGCACTCGCGTTATCTGTGGCTTTCCGAGAATTCGGTTAGGTCGGACCTGGCTGACTTTGAAGGAAATGCAGCTACCACTGCGGCGTGCCCAGTGGTCATTTGATAAGCTTATCACAGACAAATCGCAGCCTCCTACCAGCTTTGTCATGCAAATGCGGCCAAAATCAATTTCAAACTTGGCGCCAGCCTAATGAGGAAAAGGCAACAAGCACAGCAGGTCCCCGCCCCCCCCCCCTTTCCGAAAAGCTCAGTTAATTAAGTTATAAAAATTATACTTTAT